CCATGTGATACTTGTCTTTTGCTGATTGATTTATTTCATTCAGCATAATACGCTCCAGGTCCCTCCATGCTGTCTCAAAGGGTAAGAGAGCCTTCTTTTTACTGCTGCACAGTATTCCATGGTGCAAATGTACCACAGCTTTCTTATCCACTCGTCTACTGATGGGAACTTGGACTGTTCCCAGATCTTACTTTTTAAAAATATAGTTTATTGATTTTTTACAGAGAGGAAGAGAAAGGGATAGAGAGCTAGAAACATCGGTGAAAGAGAAACATCGACCAGCTGCCTCCTGCACACCCCCACCGGGGATGTGCCTGCAACCAATGTACATACTCGACTAGAATCGAACCTGGGACCCTTCAGTCCAGAGGCTGATGCTCTCGGCTGTTTCCAGATCTTAGCTATTGTGAATTATGTTGCTATGAACAAAGGGGTGTGTACATTCTTTCTGATTGGTGTTTTGGGATTCTTACGATATTTTCCTATAAATGGGATCATTTGGTTAATGGCAGTTCCATTTTTAATTCTTTTGAAGAAGCTCCATACGGTTTTCTATAATGGATGTACCAGTCTGCATTCCCACCAGCAGTGTGCTAGGATTCCTTTTCTCCACATACTCGCCAGACCTGTCATTTGTTGATGGTAGCCATCTGACAGGTGTAAGATGATATCTCATTGTCATTTTAATTTGCCTCTCTCTGATGATCAGTGACCTTGAGCATTTTTTCATGTCTATTGGCTGTTTGTACGTCTTCTTTGGAGAAGTGTCTATTTAGTTTTCCAAGTACAAGTATTTGATCTTCTTGATTAAGCTTATTCCTAAATATCTTACTTTTTCAGTTGCAATGATAAATTAAATTGTTTAGTTTCTCTTTCTGAGAATTCATTATTAGCATATAAAAAAGCCATTTTTTGGGTGTTGATTTCTGTATCCTGCTACATTTGCCCATTTTTTTTTTTTATTGGATTATCTTCCTTTTGTTGTGAGAGTTCCTTAAATTTTTTGGATATTAACCCTTTATCAGATGTATCATTGCCAAATATGTTCTCCCATACACTGGGCTCTCTTTTCATTTTGTTGGTTTCTTTTGCTGGGCAAAAGCTTTTTATTTTGATGTAGTCTCATTTGTTTATTTTCTTCTTAGTTTCCTTTGCCCTAGGTGCTGTTTCCATAACCATACTGCTATGAGAGCTGACTGAGATTTTGCTGCCTGTGGTTTATTCTAGGATTTTTATGGTTTCTTGACTTACACTTAGGTCTTTTATCCATTTTGAGGTTACTCTTGTGTATGGTGTAAATTGGTGGTCTACTTTATTATTTTGCATTTATCTGTCCAATTTTCCAACATTGAAGAGACTGTCTTGACTCCATTGTGTGCTCTTGCCTCCTTTGTCAAATATTAATTAAGCATAATGGCTTGGGTCGATTTCTGTGGTCTCTGTTCTGTTCCATTGGTCTGTATGTCTGTTCTTGTGCCAGTACCAGGCAGTTTTAGTACAGTGGCTTTGTAGTATAACTTGATGTCTGGTATTGTGATTTCTTCAACTTTGTTCTTATTTCTTGAAATTACTGTGGCTATTCAGGGTCTTCTTTGGTTCCATATACATTTTTGGATTATTTGTTCTTGATCTGTGAAATATGTTAGTATTTTAATAGGAATTGCATTGAATTTGTACATTGCTTTGGGTTGCATGGACATTTTAATGTTAATTCTACCACTTAATGAACACAGTATTTTCTTCCACTTGTTTATGTCTTCCTCTAGCTCTTTTTAAAAAATATATTTTTATTAATTTCAGAGAGGAAGGGAGAGAGAAAAGAGATAGAAACATCAATGATGAGAGAGAAACATTGATTGGCTGCCTCCTGCATGCCCCACACTGGGGATTGAACCCACAACCCTAACATGTGCCCTTGACTGGAGTTGAACACAGATCCTTTAGTCTGGAGGCCAATACTATCTACTGAGTCAAACCAGCTAGGGCTCTATCTCTCTCTTTTTTAATGTTCTGAAGTTTTCCAAGTACAAGTCTTTTACCTCCTTGATTAAGCTTATTCCTTACTTTTTCGGTTGCAATGATAAATGATATTATTTAGTTTCTCTTACTGAGAATTTGTTATTGGCATATAAAAAAGCCATTTTTGGGTGTTGATTTCTGTATCCTGCTACACTGACAAATTCATTTATTAAATCTAGTAGTTTTTTGGTGAAGTCTTTAGGGTTTTCTATGTATATTATCATGTCATCTGTGAATAATAAAAGTTTTCCTTATCCTTTCCAATTGGGATACCTTTTATGTGTTCTTATTTTCTGATTGCTTGTGGCTAGGACTTCCAGTACTCTCTCTATATATAAAAGGGTAAGTGTCCATCTGTTCGACCGGTAGCTATGACACGCACTGATCACCAAGGGGCAGACGTTCAATACAGGAGCTGCTATGACGTGCACTGGCCATTTAAAAATAAAGGGCACCATGGACCTGGCACTGGCAAAGCAACACTCAGCTTCCCCCAAGTGGGACACAGGCCCCACTACCACCCCGAAACAACACCCACCAAATCACAGCCAACACTGCCAAAACCCCATGACACAAAATGCAGCCCACAGCCCAGCCCAGAAACAGTCACTGTGGGCACAGGGCAATGACGTCACATAGCAACGCCCTACTTCCTCTCCCTAGCGACTAGCCTCCTTGGAGTTTCTTCAACCCAGGAACCTGACTGGCCTTATAGCAAGGTGCAAACATTTTACAATTTAACCAAATGTCTGTGAAGCATTTTCCTGTGCCTCATCTAATTTGATCCTCACAGAAGTCCTGGAGTAGGTAGCTACTGGGCCCCAAAGGAAATGAGATGGGAAGGGGTCATCCCTCTGGCACTATTGTGGTCCCTTTGCCCAGCCCAGCCCAGGCCCCTCCATCTGGAAGCCTGGGCACCGTGGTAGTGACCCACGTCCTGTGGTGTCCCACAGATCCTTCTCTCTACCTTCCAGGGGGCTCCTCATAACCCACAGTCTCCACACATGTTTTGCTTCTGAGTGTACTTTGTAGTTTATTATACTTTACTAGAGGCTCAGTGCACAAAATTTGTGCTTTGGGGGGGGGGGTGTCCCTCAGCCCAGCCTGCACCTTCTACAATCTGGGATCCCTCTCACAATCCAGGACTGCTGGCTCCCAACCGCTTGCCTGCCTGCCAGCCTGATCACCCCTAACCACACCTCTGCCAGTCCAATTGCCCTAAACTACTCTCCCCTGCTGGCCTGGTCACCCCTAAGTATTCTTCCCTGCAGGCCTGGTCACCCCCAACTGCCCTCCCCTGCAGGCCTGGTCCCTCCCCACTGCCTTCGCCTGCCAGCCCAATCACCCACAATTGCCCTCTTTTGCTGCAACCCATCTCCTCTGCCGGGACCCGCTGCCTCTGTGTGAGGCGCAGGAGATGTCAGAACTGGCCTCCGCTGCACTGTTCAGAGCCTCGGACCCCCAGGCCTCATCATGCAGAGCCACTGGGCCCCGCCTCCACTGTGCGTTGTGCTATCTTGTGGCAGCCATCTTGTGACGACATCATGCCCAAGGGCCACCGAGGCTTTTATTAGTACAGATAGGAAAGGAGCAGAGACAAGGCACACATTATAGGCATGTCATTTGTGCAACTTCATCAAGAATCTGCGATTCTGCACTCTCCAGGGAACTACCAGTCCATTCCCCACAGAGCACCAGGGAAGGCGGTCAACAAAGCAGAGAGAGATGCGTGTGGGGATGGTGGGTGAGGGGAGGTGCCTCTCCCTCACACCTGGGAGCAGAGAGCATTAGCCAGATGCACATGACCACCTGATTTCCTAACGAAGGAACTCTCGCACTTGTGGCCTCTCTTGTTGCTCGCGTGGCTCTTGGCTCTCCGTGTCCACCTGTGTGGCCACATGCAGTGGATTAGAGCGGGAAACACAGGCTGAGCCAGCCTCATGCTATACTGGACTCGATTCCTGGACTATTCTTACCATTTACCGCTAGCTACTAGCTTACCCATTTTTACCATTAGCACCTACATGCTACTTGCTTAAAAGGAATGAATTAAATAAATTTGCTGTTCAAAAAGGGAAACAGAGAAACCCAGTAAGGTGAGTCCCAGATGACGGGAGAACAAACCGGACAGCGAAAGCCCAGCTCGTCTGCTGCACGCGCCTCACTTATCACCGACAGAGTGGTCGGTGCCAGGCGCGGCGCGGCGCAGACCGCAGGTCCCCTGGGAGGGACGATGGGCAGCCCTGGGAAGCTGCAGGAAGCAGACCACCCACTCACCTCTCCCAGCAGTTGGACAGGAGCAAGGCCCAGCTGGCATCTTGAAGAATGTCAATGGCTCTGGGGACACCTGCCACAGCTGCAGTATCCTTCACAGCACCCGGGGCTCAGAGGGACACCCCATTCCTCCCCCAGCAGCACTCAGTGCTACCCGGAAGCCGTGGAAAACAGTGTAGTTCCTGCCCCAGCAAGAGCGTCCGGGCCAGGCTGGCTCCACCCCATCCCTGCCCCGTTCACAGCAGGCCCAGGGCCCACATGGGGACAGCACCCCTGCACTGCGGACTCAGGACGAGGAGCGTTCAGGCCGCTGGGATGGCCGTGCCAGCGTGAGTGTGGAGGCACCCACCAGTGCCCCAGCAGGAGAGCCAAGCTGGCGGAATGGATGGAGCTGTGGGTGCAGGGGTCGCCGTCCCGCGGGCCAGGCCATCCCCCGAGGTGGGCACCTGCTCAGCCTCCAGGGACCCAGAGGAAGGGCGCTGCCCTGGGCCCGAGGGGGAAACGCCTGCAGACGCCAGGCCCCTGCCCCTGGGGCCAGTCGCCCTGTGACCTCTCCGGCCCCGCTGGGTGGGAGCCCCTGGAACTAACCGGGACTCTGCGAAGCGGGTCACCGCGGAGCCTGCGTGGCCCCCAGCCTCCCTGCGCCCTGCTGCCGCCTCGGCCGCCGGCCCTTCGGGACCACTGGAAAGGAGTTTGAAAAACCAAAGTCCTTTTTCCCCCAAAATATTTTTTATTCTTGCATTACATTTGTGTTTCCAATTGTGAATAAAAAAATGCTTAGAAAGTGATTACAAAACAGTGTGCGCCGCCACGAGGCGCGGACTCGCCTTCTCCGAACGGGACGACCTGGGCCTGGCGTTGGGTCGGTCAGCCCGCCTGGGCTCAGCTGGGCTTCTCACTCTCAGAATCTAGAAAAGAAAACCGCCACACTCATTACCGGCCGCCCGGGCGCGGGCTACGTCCCCGGGAGGCCGGCCTGAGCCTGCCCTGCGCCCGCCGCCTGCACACGGGGCAGCAGCTCGGACAGCCAGGCCCCAGCCCACGGCTGCGAGCTGAGGCACCCAGCAGCTGGGTCCCCACTCCGGGCAGAGGCCCCAGGCCTGACTGCAGGGCAGCGCGAGTGGGATGAGGCCTGCAGACCAGGCGGCCGCCTCGTCGGGTGGACAGAAGGCACTGTGACCCCAGCTTGTGAGGGCGGGGCCCATGCCACGGAGCAAGAGACCAGAAATATGTGCCGAGTCCCACGGGCGGGGTGGGGGTGGGGGGGGTGCCGCGCCTGCGAAAGGGGGTCGGTCAGGAGGAACCTTCCCAAACCCAGAGCCTATGGCACAGCAGATGCACCTCCATGACCTGGGTGTCCCTGCCCCGAACCCTCCTCTCACAAGGCCTAGAGCCCCCGACCCCCCTGCAGGTCCAGCAAACCCAGCTCTCCTGGAAACAGCCACGCGGACAGGGGTGGGGACAGCGGTGTTGACCATGAGGCTCACTAGTCCGCAGGCAGAGGCCCGGATCTGCATGCAGCTCGGCTGAGCGGGGCAGTGAGGAGGCGCATCCAGGGCCCAGGCGCACCCGCGGGCGGAGCAGAAGCCGAGCCCACAGGACCCACGCGCCTCCCGAGCCTGACTGCGCGGACGGAGCCGCTGCCACCCGCCACCCGGCGAGCACCTGTCCTCCTGAGGCTCGCTGGCGGCTTTCACGTGGACACACAGTAAGAAGATGTTGTTTCACACTATTTTCAAACAAGCATGTTTATTCGGCTTCTTCATGTACAGTCTGGGGATTCTGTGCCACTGACGCTGCGGGCCCCAGGCCAAGCGCCCACACTCCCGAGGGTGCAGTGGGCTGGAGGGCGCGGGTGGGGTTTCCAGACGCAAAACTCAGCAAGAGACCAGGGGCACCTCGCGGAGAAAGAAGCCGCACCGCACGGCCTGACAAGCCAATCCTAACTGACCCGATGGAGTAAGGAACTGAAGCCCAAGTAAGTGACAGTGCTGGCGAGGACCCGTGGAGAGCGGCGTCTGCGGACGGCTGCGCGGCCCACGCCTCCCGCAGTGGCCAGTGCGGGGCAGGCCTCCAGCTCCTGCTAGGCTCCTGCTGCTCTGGGCCAGCCCCACTGACAGCTCCGTCTCCGTTAGGGGAGCAATCCCCGGCCCCTGGCTGGGCAGCTGTGGAGTCTGGAGAGCCGTCTGGGGCCACGGGCGTTGGGGTGGGGGGATGTAGGGGCAGAGCAGGCCACAGAGGGGGGCGCAGGCGGCCCCAGGCCTCAGGGAAAGGAAGGAGGGCAAGCAGGAGGGGGGGCCCGAGCCAAGGAGGCGCTGTGTCTGTGGGAAGGAGGCAGCTCCCAGGAGCAGACCTCCCCCCTCACAGTAGCCCTGCCTGGCTGTGGCCTGAGGGCTTGTCTGCTCACCTAGCACTTCACAGCAGCTTCCACACAGCCAGACACAGCACAGTTCCTTCCTGAGACCACGTCACCCGTCACGGCCCAGGGATTGCAGCCCTGGCGGCAGCAGCGCCGGCCTGCAGCGTGGCTGTGCCACGTTTGTGCCGGTGACGGGTGACGTGGAGCCCGAGAGGCCTCCTGCACGCAGGAAGCAGAGCTCCCCACCGTTTGCAATTCCTCATAGTCAAGGTCACCAGTTCAATTTTAAACAATAAACCACTTACAGAAGCTAAAGGTCAGACCTCAGCTTCCGATTTGTAAACCACTGATATCTCTCCGCAGCTTAAAATGGGAAATAAGAAATCAACACGCATCCCATTGGAAAGGAAATACACCTTTTCCAATACATGATTCTTTAAACGTCTCTCTCCGTCAGCGAACGGGAAAACCGAGTCCAAGGCACTGTGTCCTGGGGTGGCCACAACGCGCGAAGCATCGATTCCAGCACAGGAAGGGGATGCGAGAGGTGAGTGTGGCCGTGGGAGCCTCGGGGGTGAGTGTGGCCGTGGGAGCCTCGGGGGTGAGTGTGGCCGTGGGAGCCTCGGGGGTGAGTGTGGCCGTGGGAGCCTCGGGGGTGAGTGTGGCCGTGGGAGCCTCGGGGGTGAGTGTGGCCGTGGGAGCCTCGGGGGTGAGTGTGGCCGTGGGAGCCTCGGGGGTGAGTGTGGCCGTGGGAGCCTCGGGGGTGAGTGTGGCCCTGGAAGCCTCGGGGGTGAGTGTGGCCCTGGAAGCCTCGGGGGTGAGTGTGGCCGTGGGAGGCTCGGGGGTGAGTGGGGTTTGCAGCAGGCCCTTCCCCGGGCACCGCAGGCAGGGGCAGGACCAGCAGGCCACGGCACAGCCTGGCTCCTGTGGGCATTCAACTCAGCATGTTCCGGCTGCCAAGTGGCTGGACGGAGCTACAGACCCACAGCCTGGGGCCTGGCATGCTGACCACAGGTGGCCACAGGAACTCGGGGAGCACGGGCCCCCAGGGAGAGCTCCGGTGGCCAGCCTGGGAGGCCCAGGGACCCCAGGACGCAGGCGCGGGGAGCGGGCTTCCGTGCTGGCCCCGAGGCAGTGCGCAGGGGTGGGGGGAGAGGCCAGAGAGGGCAGTACCTGGCATGGGCACGGGTAGGGCCAGGGCAGTTCCAGGAATGACCGTGGTGGGTAGAGGGCCGGACGCCAGGGCCAGAAATGGTGTCCCCACTGCTGCTCGAGGTGTGTTCATCTACAAGACAAGAAGGGAGGGCATGTGGCGGAGTCAGTGCCGCCAGCGGCCCGGGGCCCACAGTGTCTGCATCCTCAGGGGCCAGTGGCCTAAGACCTGCCATGGCGCCTCCTGACGGTGGACACCAGAGTGACACCTTTCTGAACTCTTCAACTCTGCAGCCTAGCCTCCTCGGGCCAACCCCCAGGCGTCCACAGGCCAGAGCCGGCTGCGGAAGGGCAGTGGTCGGCAAGCTCGGTCAACAGAGCCAAACATCAACAGCACATGATTAGAATTTCTTTTGAGAATCAAAATTTTTAAACTTAAACTATATAGGTAGGTACATTGTTATTAACTTAATTAGGGTGCTCCTAAGCTGGCCTTTGCTACAAACTCAAGGGGCCAAAGAGCCACATGTGGCTCATGAGCCGCAGTTAGCAGACCACTGACTTAGGGCACCCCCAACCCAAGGCCTCCTACTGGGCTGGTCAGTGCATTACAGAAGGCCACAGGAGCTGGGGGACAGTGCCCAGAGCCTGTGAGCCAATGGCCGGCAGCCCCTGCTCCCGCGCCCCAGAGCAGGGGGTGGGGGCAGTGAACAGAGAGGTCACTGAGGCCAGCACGCTCTGATGGGAGCCTCAGGAGCTGCAGCAAGAACAGAGGCCGAAAACCTCAAATCCCCTAGACACAGTGTTGGCAGATCGAATCCAGCAACTAAAAAATACAGTCTCACCAACCACTGGCTTTGCCTCGGGAGCGCAATGCTGCGGTCCCCCAGCCACACCTGGAGGGACAGCCGCAGAGGCAAGGAGGTGCCGAGGAGGCCCATCCCTTCAGGGAGAGCCAGCAGCTGAGTCCTGCACCCCACCCCGTCCCCTGGGCCAATGTGAGACCCAAATGCTCTTCCCCAGAGCCCTCTGCTCCAGCCACGTGTGGGAAGTCCCAGCCGAGGCAAGGGAAGGAGTGGAGGCACAGGCCGGAGAAAAAGCAGAACCAGCTTTATTCACAGATGACAAGATTGTGTATGAAGAACACCCCAAAGAGTGAACTATTTCCAGAACCAACAAGTAAATTTAGCACGACTGCAGGTTACAAGATACAGAACTCTACTGCATTTCTATACTAACATACACCGCAGAATAAAATTTTAAAACAATACAATTTACAACTGGCATTCCAAGCCATCTACTCCCTAGGGCTGCATTAATGACAGAACAACTTCACACCGAACCCTACAAAACTGCTGAGAGAAACACTCAATAATGTTAATATATCGGATCTCACCCAGTTAAACAAACAAAATAAACTACCAATACAATCCCAGTTAAAATCCCAGCAGGCTCTTTTGTAGACATTGATGAGCTGTTTCTAAAACATATATGGAAATATTAAGAAGCTGAGAAAATCAAGACATTCTTGAAGAAGATCAATGTTGGAGGCCTTACACAATCAGATATTAAACGAACCAGGAAGCCACACTGATGAGGAGGAGACTTGCCGCGGGGAGGAAAGAGTGGCTCATGGGCCGAGACAGGGGCCTCGGAGCACGGGCCTGCACGGCTGCGGCTGCAGGTCTGCGGCAAGGAGCACGCGGGTACAATCACACACCCGCTGATCTGAGGTGCTTCAGGCCTGGCTGCAATAAGAGATACAGATTCCTTAAATAGCACAGAAATATTACTGAACATAGATAATTTGATAAACCAGACCTCAACAAAATTAAAAGGCCTGCCATTTCACTTTTACCATTAAGAAAACAGACAAGCCACAGACCAGCAGGAAAACCCACACCTCTGACTGACGGAGCAGCTAAGCCGTGCTGTCCGAGGCCAGCTGCTGTCTCCGGCACAGCGGGGAGCCCACATGCAGAGGCTGGCGACACGGATTCTCAGCTGCATGGGGGTCAGCACCCTCCACCGGGCGTTGTTCTAGGCCCACCGTACAAGGCGGAGGACACACAGAGAACTCCAATAAGTCAATAATAAAGAGTTACTGCAACTTTTTTAAAAAAAATATATTTTATTGATTTTTTTTTGCCCCCCTCCTTCCCTCCCAAACATACCCTCCCTCCCAAGTTTTATGTCCATTGGTTGTACTTATATGCATGTATACAAGTCCTTCGGTTGATCTATTATCTCCCCCAGATCTCCCACTCCTCCCCACCGCAATTTGACAGTTCGCCTGTTGCTCCACTGTCTCTATATCTATCTTTTGGTTCATCAGTTTATAATGCTCTTTATTATCCACAAATGAGTGAGGTCATGTGGTGTTTCTCTTTCATTGATTGGCTTATTTCACTCAGCATGATGTTCTCCAATTCCATCCAGGTTGCTGCAAATGATGAGAATCCCTTCTTTTTTATGGCAGCATAGTATTCCATTGTGTAGATGTACCATTGTTTTTGGATCCAATCATCTGCTGACGGGCACCTGGGCTGTTTCCAAATTCTGGCTATTGTAGATTGTGCTGCTATGAACATTGGGGTGCATATATCCTTTCTGATTGGTGTTTCTAGTTTCTTGGGATATATTCCTAGGAGTAGGATTACTGGGTCAAAAGTGAGTTCCATTTTCAGTTTTTTGAGGAAACTCCACACTGTTCTCCACAGTGGTTGCACCAGTCTGCATTCCCACCAGCAGTGCACGAGGGTTCCTTTTTCTCCGCAACCTTGCCAACACTTGTCGTTTGTTGATTTGTTGATGTTGGCCATTCTGACAGGTTGAGATGGTACCGCATTGTTGTTTTAATTTGCATCTCTCGGATAATTAGTGACTTTGAGCATGTTTTCATGTGCCTTTTGGCCTTCCTCTGTCTTCTTTTGAAAATATTCTATTTAGGTCCATTGCCCATTTTTTAATTGGATCATTCATCTTCTTTTTATTTAGTTGTATAAGCTGTCTGTAGATGTTGGAGATTAAACCTTTATCAGTGGTGTTATTTGCAAATATGTTCTCCCACACTGTGGGCTTTCTTGTTGTTTTGTTGGATACAGGGCATCCCTGTCTTGTTCCTGATCTTAGAGGGAATGGTTTTTATTTTGATGTAGTCCCATTTGTTTATTTTCTCTTTAGCTTCCATTGCCCTAGGGGCAGTATCAGTGAATAAGTTCTTTTGGCATATGTCTGAGATTTTGCTGCCTGTGGATGCATCTAGTATTTTTATGGTTTCCCATCTGATGTTTAAGTCCTGTATCCATTTTGAGTTTATTTTTGTGTATGGTGTAAGTTGGTGATCTAGTTTCATTCTTTTGCATGTGTCTGTCCAATTTTCCCAACACCATTTATCGAAGAAACTGTCTTGACTCCATTGTATATTCATGCCTCCTTTGTCAAATATTAATTGAGCATAGTGATTTGGGTTGATATCTGGGTTCTCGATTCTATTCTATTGATCTATATGTTTGTTCTTATGCCAGTACCAGGCTGTTTTGAGAACAGTGGCTTTGTAATACAGTTTGAGGTCTGGTATTGAGATCCTTCCTACTTTACTCTTCTTTCTCAGGATTGCTGTGGCTATTCGGGGTCTTTTATTGTTCCAAATGAACTTTTGGAGAGTTCTTTCTAGGTCAGTGAAATATGCCGTTGGTATTTTAATGGGGAGTGCATTGAACATATAGATTGCTTTAGGAAGTATGGACATTTTGATGATGTTGATTCTACCAATCCATGAACATGGTATGTTCTTCCATCTCTTTACATCTTCCTCTATCTCTTTTTTCAGTGTCGTGTAGTTTTCCGCATATAGGTCCTTTACTTCCTTAGTTAAATTTATTCCTAGGTATCTTAATTTTTTTGGTGCGATGGTAAATGGAATTGCTTTTTTAGTCTCTGTTTCTGCAGTTTCACTGTTGGTGTATAGAAATGCCATGGATTTCTTGGCATTAATTTTGCATCCTGCTACATTGCCAAATTCATTTATTAAGTCAATTAGTTTTTTAATGGAGTCTTTTGGGTTTTTTATGTACAATATGTCATCTGCAAATAAGGATAACTTTACTTCTTCTTTTCCAATTTGGATGCCTTTTATTTCCTCCTCTTGTCTAATTGCAATGGCTAGTACTTCCAGTACTATGTCAAACAGGAGTGGCGAGAGTGGGCATCCCTGTCTTGTTCCTGATCTTAGAGGGAATGGTTTTAGTTTTTGCCCATTGAGCATGATGTTGGCTGTGGGTTTATCATATATAGCTTTTATTATGTTGAGGTATGATCCTTGTACTCCCACCTTGTTAAGAGTTTTTATCAGGAAAGGGTGTTGGATTTTATCAAATGCTTTTTCTGCATCAATTGATATTACTATATGATTCTTATCTTTCAATTTGTTTATGTGATGTATCACGTTTATTGATTTGTGGATATTGTACCATCCTTGCATTCCTGGAATAAATCCTACTTGGTCATGGTGTATGATCTTTGTGATGTTTTTCTGGAGTTGATTTGCTAGAATTTTGTTGAGGATTTTGGCATCTATGTTCATGAGGGATATTGGCCTGTAATTCTCTTTCAGTGAGTTGTCTTTATCTGGTTTTGGTATTAGGGTGATGCTGGCTTCATAGAAGGAGTTTGGAAGTGTTCCTTCCTCTTGGATTTTTTTGGAATAGTCTGAGGAGGATAGATTTTAGTTCTTCCTTGAATGTTTGGTAAAACTCTCCTGTGAAGCCATCTGGCCCTGGGCTTTTGTTTGCTGGAAGCTTTTTGATGACTTTCAATTTCTTCCCAAGTCACTGCTCTATTGAGATTTTTAGATTCTTCCTGATTGAGTTTTGGAAGTTTGTATTTTTCTAGGAATATGTCCATTTCCTCTAGGTTGTTCAGTTTGTTGGAATAGAGTTGTTCGTAGTATTTTGTAACAATCTGTTGTATTTCGGTGGGGTCTGTTGTTATTTCACCTCTTTCATTTCTGATTTTGTTTATTTGGGTCCTCTCTGTTTCTTGGTTAGCCTGGCTAGAGGTTCATCAATCTTGTTTATCCTTTCAAAGAACCAGCTCTTGGTTTTGTTGATCTTACGTATTGTTTCTTTGGTC